AAATCTAAAAGATACATAGTATAAACAAATATAAATTGGGCTGGGGATTTAGCTTAGTGGCACCCCACCTGCCTTGCAAGCACAAGGTCCTGACTTTGATCCCTGGTACTGCAAAAAAAAGATATAAATTGTTATAACAAGAACAAAAAGTGTAGGAAAGGAGAAGTGAAGAGTTTCTCTAACTCAGATTAAATTGTTACCAACTGAAATTAAACTGTTAAATTAGACTGGCATATCTTACATAATTTCCAAGTATAAAAAATACCTCTAGAACTTTTACAAAAAAACAGAAAAAAAAACAAAGTATATTAATACAATATAACATAAAGTCAACATAACACAAAGAGGAAGATGGCAATAGAAGAAATAACAGACAAAAGAACTATACCACCAACAGGAAGCAAGTAACAAAAGAAGAATAGTAACACTTCTCTATCAATAATTACTTTGTAAATAGATTAAATTTACCAAAGAAAAACATAGAGTGGCTGAATAAGTAAAAAAATCAAACTTTAAAGACTATTGACCCAACTATATGATGCCTACAAGAAACTCACTTTAGAATAAAGGACATGCGCTGGCTGAAAATGAAGTGATGGTGAAAAAGGTATTCCCATGTAAATAATTATCAAAAAAGAGCTAGGGTGGCCATATTTATAATAGAAAAAAATACACTATTGGTAAAAAAAAAAAAAGAGAGACAAAGAACACTGCCTAAGAAGGTTTAATTAAATAAAGAACTAAGGAAACAGATGACATAAATGCTATAGACCAAATGGACCTAACAAAAATATATAGAACCTTCTACCCAACAGAAAAATATACATTGTCTCAAGTACCCTGTGCTCTTTCTTAAGGAGAGATCATGGGTTAGGTCACAAAAGAAACCTAAACCAATTTTAGAAGACTGAAATTACACCAACTGTTTCATTTTCTGACCTCAATAGAATGAAGCTAGGAACCAATGTCAGAAGGAAAAGTGGAAACTTCACAAAAATGTTAAAATTAAACACTTGAACTACCATTGGTTCAAAGCATAAATAAATGCAAAAATACTTTAGGATGAATGAAAGTGAAAATTTATCATACCCAAATTCATGAAATGCAGCAAAACCAATACTAAGAGAGAAATTCATAGCCATAAATAGCATTAAAAAGAAGGAAGGTTTTAACCTAATTCAATACTCCAGAGAGCTAGAAAAAGAAGGACAGAGGAAGGCCATAAATACCAAGAGCAAAGAAGTAGCAAATATAAGACCAGAAAGAAATGAAATAGAAACTAGAAAAAAATCAACAAAACTAAGTATTGGTCTTTTGAAAGTATAAATATAACAGAGAAACTCTAATGGTATGGTTTGAATGTGTTCCCCAAAGTTAATTCTCAAAGTGGCAGTGTTGGGAGGTGAGGCCTCATGGTAGGTGTTTAGGTCGTGAGGGCTCCATTTTAATGAATGTGTTAAGGCTGCTCTCATAAGAGGTCAGTTCTTGTGGGAGTGGCTTCATTATAAATGTAAGCTCTTCTGCATGTGCTTCCTTGCCCTTCCGTTTTTCCACTATGAGATAAAGCAGCACAAGTTCCTCACCAGATACTAGAACCACGCTCTTGGACTTCCCAGCCACTAGAACCATGAACTAAATAAAGACTTTCTTATAAATTCCATAGTCTCAAGTAGTCTATTATAGTAGCAGAAAGTCAATTAAAACTAACCAAGGAAAAAGGCATAAAATTCAAATAAATAATATCAGAAAGGAAAGAAGAAATATTAGAACTGAGAACAGAAATAAAAGGATCCTTAGAGACTACTACGAACAGTTACAGTATATTGAAAAGCTGGATATACTAGCAGAAATAGATAAATTTCTAGATACATACACCCTACCAAATCTAAATCATAAGAAATGAAAAACCTAAACAGGCCAACAGTTAGTCTGGAAATTGCATTAGTAACTAAAAGGCTCTTAACAAAGCCAGACACAGTGGTGCATATCTGTAGTCCCAGCACACAGAGGACTGAATCCAGAGCATCAACTCTACCCAAGAGTCCAAGACCAGCCTAGACAACATGGCAAGTCTCAAGAGGAAACAAAACAAAACAACAGTAACAACAACAACAAAAAAAACCCTCCTAACAAAAGCCCAAGTTAAGATGTTTTCACTAGTAAAGTCTACCTAACATTCAGAGTATAATTAATGCTAATCCTCCTAATACTCTTTCAGAATTGAAGTGGGAACCCTCCTATATGAGCCAGCTTCCCTGCTGCTGAGACACAACACTCAGCATCCACAGCCTAAAGGAGAAGAGGTTTAATTTGGCTCAGACTCTCAGAGGACCCATGGTCAGCTGGCTCCAAGGCAGGAACATCATGGCGGAAGGGAATGGTGGACCAGAAACACTTAGTTCTTGGTGACCAGGAAGCAGAGCACAGAAACATTGCCAAAGAGACCATATAGAGTCAGGTCTCCATGACCAACTCAGACACACCCAGAAGTGGGCTTTACTCTGGCCCAAGTGACTCCACAGTTAACTGAACCACAATCACTGTCAGTCTCATTCTGTGAGGCAGCATTACCCCAACATCAAAGCCAAAGATACCACACTAAAAAGAAAACCACAGGCTGAGATCTCCCAATGAACACAGAAGCAAAATCCTCAACAAAATACTAGCAAATTGAATCTAGCATCACATTAAAATAATCATATCCTTGGGATGCAAGAATGGCTCCACATATGGACATGAATCAATGTGAAACACCATGTTAACAGAAAAAAGACTAAAAACCATGTGACCATCTTAATAAAGTCAGAAAAACCATTTGACAAAATTCAATACTTGTTTATGACAAAGACATGAGAAAAAGGAAAAATACCTCAACATAATAAAGACCATATATGAAAATCTCACACCAAACATCATATTCAACAGTGAAAAACTGAGAGCTTTTCCTCTAAAATCAGGGGCAAGGCAAGGATCACTTTATTTAACATATTATTAGAAGTCCTGTGCAGAGCAATTAGGTTAAAAAAAAAAAGGAAATAAAAATCATACAAATTGGAAAGGAAGAAGTAAAATCATCTCTATGTGAGACTATGTCAGAGAAATTTGTCATAAATTCTAAAGAGCACAATTTGCAATATTTATCATACAAATACACATATTTTGATTTAGTAGTTCCATTTCTAGAAATGGGTTCTATACTTTCTAATATATGAAATAACATGTATACCTGGGATTTTTCTCCATTTTCTTTACAAACAAAATATGGGAAACATTTTAAATGTCCATTTGTGTTTCCTTCCATAAACTATGGGACATCAGTATAATTCAGCATATATTCACAGCCATTAAAAAGAATATGTACTTTGAAAAACTGATTTAGAACAGTCTCCAAGATAACATGTTGAGAAAGAAAGGGAACAGTATGTGTATTGCTCTCCCACCTATGTGAAAATATATTTGAAATATATTTGTTTGCATATGCTTAAGTATCTTTAAAAGAATTTTTAAAACAGAGGGACTTGGATTAGAAGAAACTGAACCATATTAATTTATTTTTTAATATTATACATTAAATGTCTCATTAGTTATAGTGGAAATCAGGTTTCTGGTAATTTACAATGTTAAAAAAAAGCACCTAAAATTTAAAACTAAAACTAGAACTGAAATTTTCTCTTCCATACCTTAGTTATTTCTTTCTTCTGAACTGTGTCATCACATACTTCACCTGCCAAAGCAAAGTTGAGAATTAAAAGTAAGTAAAAATTAAACTGGATTTAGACTTTATACAATATGCTTATTTTTTAGAGCAGCATTACCAGGTGGGAATATGAATTGAAACAGAGATAGGAGTGTTTGCTACCCTAAACATTGCTATTAATGCAAAGAGTACTTATGTTTGCCTAAGAGAACTAAAGTGAAGCAGGCCTTAAAACAAAGTATGAAGCTGGCATATTTCTCTGTGAATTTTGTCACTTATTAATTGTCTCTGATGCAAGAGGTAAATTTTTATTGTCTATATTATGCCCACTGTTAAGAAATCCAAAATGATAACTTAGAACAATTCTTGTCTATGCTAGAGCTTGTTGAGTACATTTTTTGCCTATCTTGGTTTAAGTCAGATGGATCTGTAAATATTAAGGTCAAATTCAATAATGCCCATGCCTTCTACAGGCAGAGAATGTACTCTCCAATGAGCCAGAATCTTAAATACTTTTCCGTGGTACAAAGCTGACATTTGCTTATTATAGATATATGTAAAAAAAAAAAAAGACAGTAGATAGTAGAAAACAAAAAAATCACTAATATCCCAGCATCCAGAGATAAGGACTATCTGTAGGGTTTGTTTGGGATTGATTTTGCCTAGGTATATATACACACTTGTATTCATCACACTGTTATTTTAAATTTCTTTTGCTTACTGGGTTTTTCATGTAAAGTATGAGAAAGTCTCCTATCATTGAAAGTTCTATATGATTCTCACATTGAAGCATCATATAATAACACTTGGTTATGGAATAGCATAATTTATTTCAGCTTTCTCCTACTGTGAGGCATTTGAGTATATCCAATTGTCCTTGATATTTGAAAGTTTGATACTATTCACCAGAATTATATTTCCTATAATGATGAGTTACTTGAATTAACCTCATGCTGGGCACTTACATTATCACTAATACTTATAATGATCTTACAAAGTGAAGATTTTCATTCCCATTTTGTGGCTAGGGAACTGAAGAACAGAATTCAAAGTGAGATGACTAGATGAAAATATAAAAGCCAACATGGCGGGGTTTCAAACCCAGGGCTCTCTCTTCACTACACAATGCTGTGAGCACAAGGCACATGACCAACAGGCACCTGTTACTCGGGACCCAGTTCTGGGCCTGGGATGTTGCACGTGCTGTGGAGGGGAGTCCCTGAGCTGCCGATGACCTTCGCCGGGCACCTGGAATGTAAGTCACAACTGCACTGTCCTTTTTCTCTCATCATGACCCTGCATGCAGTCACGCTTACAAAATGATAAAAAGAAGAAACTGCCTGTGTGCAGTGGCTCCCTCCCCAAAGCAAACCCACTTACAGGGCTAGCGAGGAAAGTGAAGAAGAATTGAAGTCTAACAAGGTGATAGTCCTAATCCAGAAAACAGAAGCTTTAGATAGACCAGAGTGGAATGTCAAATTTTCTCAAAGCCCGGATCAATAACATAAAGAAGCCCAAGTTGTACAAAAACAAGAAAAATGATTCTGAAATGTTCTGGGAGTGCTTTAGCAAGGATATATCTCAATGGCATTATAAATGTATTATAAATTATAAGGGCATATAAATTAGAGGTCTAAAGGGGTACTTATACCTTTCAGTTACTTTCCTGTATTTTATGAGGGAAATTACAAGCTGTCATGGGATTTGGAAACTTACAAAGACCTCGAGATTTATGCCTGTGACAGCCAGGGCCTTCACTAAAAGCAGTCCTGTAGTAAACACCTCTGCGAATGAACCTTGGTCAAATGTCTGATAATTTCTTTCAGATTGCTTCTTGGAAATGACATTGTTAGATTCATATGTGGCAAAACAAGCCAAAGCAACCTCCAAATTCAAAATTGCCATTTAAACCACTAGTGGAGGTAAGGCAGCATTTCTAGAAAGCCTCCAAAAATGACATCTAAGAAAAAATTTTAGGGAAAGTTTCCACAGTATTCACCAGTCGTTGCAGTATTCAAACAAGAAGTGCACAATGCAGCCGAGGGCTCAAGAGAGTCCTAGCTAAAGTCATCCTGTCCCCTGCCTGAGAAGGCAGGAGGAGCACCCGTGGGAGAGGAAGGCTGAGGGGACATGGTGACAAGAGTACAGAGGTCGATAACAGAGAGGGGAGTTCAAAAGGCAGGAGAAGGTGAACACCAATGTCTTGTATTCCTTGGCTTTGGTCAGGGTCAAATCTTGTTTTACATACTTTGACAGTGTGTGAAGTTCCCCATCAGAAGACAAAGTAAAGGTTCTCTCTCTCTCCTCTCTCTCTCTCTCAGATTTCCTTGACTTCCTGAGATTTTTGAGCCCCATTCGTGAGGTTGGGAGTCCACAGAACCTAACAACAGGTCCCACAAAGCCTCCGTGCCCTGGGCAGAAGGAACTGTCTACTCACTGGCCAACAAAAGGCTAAAAAAGCCACATAAAAAGTCCGAAAACTCAAATCTGAGCACTTATTCTGACAAAAGCATATAGACAGGATGGATGAAAGAGACTGTCTGGTCCGTCAAGGTGACTTTGTGAAGTGAGAAATCTCAGGAAATAAGCAGTAAATTCTCACAAATACATGCACTAACATAAAATGCTGCTTTCACCAAGATAGGCTATTAAGAACTTGTTCTCCAAAAAACAAGGGTCTACTGGCCACCACAGAGCAGAATCACACAAAGTGAGCCTCGCAGGAAATTTGGAGAGGGCCACTTCCACACCCATTCTCTAGACAGAGATGATAGCAAAGCCAAAGTCTCACCCAAAGCATCCAGAATGTGTCCAATGACTATGGTACTTATGAGCAGTCCCTGCATGTCCAGGACTAGGCCGGGTGCTGGTGGTGTCCATGTTATAAAAGATGGCCACTGATGGTTGGGGGGTATTTTTAAATGATGTGAAGGACATTAACAATATTACTAAGAAAAAGGAACTGTTTCTCTTACCATATATTCTCCCATTGATGGAGCATTTTTTGAAAGTCATGATGTTCTGAGTTAGGGTCCCCGTTTTGTCAGAGAAAACATACTCTATCTGGCCCAGCTCTTCATTGAGTGTGGTTGTCCGAGCTTCAGCGGGTGCTGCCTTCCCGGAGTAATACATCTTCCTGTCCCAGTTTATGAAATAACTGTGTCCCAGACGAATAACTTCCATACTGTGGTCCATTGCAATTGGGGAGGAAAAAAGAAATGCTCCATCAACTTCAGAACACACAAGCTTTGGCAGGTAAAAGTCTGCCGAAGTCCTGAGTTTAGAAGAAAATGTGGACCTGGTGTCCTAGGTCCTAGTGATCTTCAGACTCAGCTCAGTCGAGAATCTGTTCATAAAGCTCAGGGTCCAAGTCATTTCCTTGCAGCATCATAAAACTACAGGAATGATTTCACAGAAAGCCTTGGAGAATGTACCATAGCCCTCAACGTCCGTTACACAAGCCCAGGGGAGATTTCTGCGTAGTATATTAATTTGCTCTCCTTCCATTTCTTAGGAGAAACTAATTATTATTAAGCATGTGTGCCATACACAGTGTCATCAAAATATATGGTGAACATTCACATTTTTTAAAAATGATTACAACAAATACTTAAATATACTTAAATACTTAAAATACTCCCTTCACTTTGAACATTTCTCCCATCATTCTTGCCACTTTCCAAAGCACTTCTGGAACTCCTCTATCATCTTTACCAGATGTGATCAAAAATAAGGTGGATGCTGCTGCTGAGTGACATCTAGTGGATAAAGTAGGCTCATAAAAACATGACGCTGTGCCCTTATCTATCTTATTCACCAGATCTGGCACCATGTGACTTCTGGCTCATTCCCAAAGTGAGAATGACCGTGCCAGGCATGGTGGCACACACCTGTAATCCCAGCGCTTGGGAGGCTGAGGCAGGAAGATTGCTCCAAGTCTGAGGCCAGTCTGAGCTACATAGTGAGTTCAAAGCCAGCATAAATTACAGAGTGAGACACTGTCTCAAAAAAATAAAATAAATAAAAAGACCATGAAAGGTAGAAATTTTGAATCAGTTCAAAACATCAAGGCAGCCATGACAGAGCAACTAAAGATATTCATAAAAGAGGACTCTAGAGTTATTTCAGAAAGTGGCAAAACTATGGGGTTAGTGTATTTGGAGCAATGGGGAGTATTTTGGGGGGATTGATGGCAATGTATCTTTTACTATAATACATTTTTAAAATTTAAATATGCACCATATTTTTATCACACTTCCTATATCTAGTCTAAAGAAATGTGTTCTCTCCAATACATTGATGTGATTTAACTTTGGCAAAAGAGATAGAAAATTACGTGTCTCTCCATGAAACGCTAACCAAATCATAATAGTTATGGAGTGACAACAGAGGTGTGCTGGTGTACTCTTCTGCCTCTCTGCTAGGAAAGAGCATTGTCCATGTTCTGGTGATGATTTATGGCTTCACAGCTTAAAATGGAATTTCTGTGGCCAAAGGTATGAATTATTTCAATGCTTGTCATACATAATGCCAAACTGACTTCCAAAAAGGTTATGACAATGTAAGCTTCTACCATCAGAATATAGAAAATTATCAATTCAAAGAGCAGCTTAATACTTTTTACTGCCATTTCTCTTCAAATCAGTGAGTTGAACACTTTTTTTCAAATTTTATTGTCCAGCTGTGTTTCTCCTTGGAATTATCTATTTGTATATCTGCCTGTTTCATTTTTCCTATTCTGATTAGTGTTTTTCTTGTAGAGTTTTTAAAGTTCTACAGATATTAGAGCTATTAACTCTGTAAAAAAAAAAAGTGGAGGCATCCTATTCACTTTATCACTTGGCTTTTCATTTTGTTTCCAGCTTTTGACATGAAGTTTTCTCTTCTTAATTGATCAAATCAAATAATAGTTTATAGTTTTGTTTGAGGACTTTTGCTTAAATAGGCCTTCTCTATGCCAAGATTATACAATCTATGCATAGTTGTGTGTTTTTCTTCTAGTTTTTGTTTATTTTTTTCACATTTACTTCTCTATCCCAATGGAATCCAGTGATTATGGAGCTAATTTCAATTTTTCCAAACAAAAACATTTTTCATGGCTATTTGCTGAATGCAGAGCCCTTAGGTTGGGATGCCTCCTACATCACGTGTAATTATTTATTCACTAAACTGTTTATGGATTTCAGTTTTGTTCCTTGATATATTACTTAGTGCATCTCTTGCTTTTATTATTGGAGCTTTATGAAACCTGGAAATACCTGAGAGGAGATCAAAGCACCTTTATTCTCTTCCCTTTTAAAAATTCTTAGCTGTAATCATTCATTTATTCTTCCTGACAGAAGCAATATACTCATCTAAATAAACTTTAAAACCAAGATATTGGGAATTTTAGAAAATTTATTTGGGATTTTTCTTATATCTATGTTAAAATCTTAATTATTTGAAAAAAGCTGATTATTTCATAAAGATGAATACAACTTCAAGAAGAAGAATAAATCTTCCCTGGAATTCAATTTTTAAAAGTATCTCTACCAGTAAAGAGTTTTTGTTTCGCTTTGTTTTTCACATACATCCACAATATTGCATCCTTTATTGATGAGTTTTAAAAATTATTATTGGTCTAAAGGAAAGTTTTTAATTTTTTAAAACGATGGCTCACAGAACTAATACTTAACTGAATAACTTGCAAAGAGCTTTATAGATTTTTCTTCTGATTTTCTAGATTTATAATTATTTGTATATTTTCTTTTCTAATAGGTTTATTGCAGTTACAACTTCATGCCTTCCTTTGTTTGCTGATATTTCACTTTCTCTGTACATTAACAAAGACATTCAGAAGAAGATAAGAGAGCAATGACAATATAATAGCAGAGACTGAAGTTTATTCCTAATCTTAGAGGAAATTATGTCTTGGCTTTCTCATCTGTCAACTAAGAAAGATGGACTAGAAGACACCCAAACCCTTTATGAGTATTGAATTCTGTGCTTCGACTTCTAAAAGTCCTCATTTCTTCCCTAAGAATGGTACAGTTCCAGTCCATTTTAAAATATTTGAATGGTAACATTTTTCTCCTAAATTAAAACCACATTAGCACTATGTGGTTTTACAATCATATGATATAAAGACAAGTCATACTCTGCATGTATTTATTTATATATTTTCATGTAATGTCTACTTTTCTATGACCCCTACACACACACACACACACACACACACACACACACACACACACTTCTTTGTAAATTCCTTGCTAGCTGGGCTGATTCTGCATAATTTTTGCAAATTCTTTCACTCAAAAGGTCCAGGACGAGTTGTCCACGTCATAGGCGGCCAAGCAGTGTTGAATGAATACACCCCAGCTATCTAGTCACTGATTGCACTGACAAGGACATTAAAACCTGAGAGATTAAGTGACTAAGCCAGGATCACACAAATAATTAGCCACAGAGCCAAGATTAAAACTCTGTGTTTAGGGCCGAGGATTTAGCTCAGTGGTTTCGCCACCTGCTGCGCAAGTGCAAGGACCCGAGTTCGATCCCTGGAATCAAAAAAAAAACCAAAACTCTGTGTTCGGTAATGCCAATGCAAACTTGGCCTGACCAATGACATTATGCAATATTTCCCCTTATCTGAGGTTTAACTTTCCATGGCTTCAGTTACCCAGTTAGTAACATCCAAAAATACTAAATGGAAAGTACCAGAAATAAACAATTTATGCTTTAAATTTTGTGCTGAGCAGCATGATGAATTCACATGCCATCCTGCTCCCAGCCGCCTGAGACGCGGATCGTCCCCTCGTCCTCGTCCTCTGTCACACTGCCGCTATCTTAGGGAACAGACTGATTGTGGTGGCACTGCAGTGCTTGTGTTCATGGCACCCTGACACGGACACCTAAAGTGATGTCACATGCCTACATCATTGGCCTCTCTCCATCTCAACACATAGGCACTGCGTCATCCCACACCATCCAAGAAGAAAGATGAGTATGCCATAATAAGACATCTTAATAGTGAGAGGGACCCTATTCACGTAACTTTTGTGATAGTATATTACCATGGTTACATCTTACTAAGTATTATTGTTAATCTCTCACTATGCCTAATTTATAAATTAAACTTTATCATAGATATGTGAGCACAGTATAGAAAAAACATGGTTCTGTACTATCTGCAGTTTCAGGCATCCACCAGGGGGCTCTTGGGATGTTTCCCCCAAGGAGAACGGGAGAGGCTGTTTCTGCGCAAATCATTTGAAACCTTCAATGATCTAAAAATCTAGAAACCCAAGCAAAATGACTGTAGCCAGATCTGATTCTCCTGTGTTGCAGTACAATCCAATGGAAGTATTCAAAATTCGTTTAGATTCCTAGAGCTTAACATAGCACCAGGAGATGAAAGAGGACTCAGCAGAGTAACTGTGCAGCATGCTGCCCTTCCTTTTAGAAAAGCAGAGGGACAGAGACAAACGTTCAGAGGGAGCCTCAGGAGGACTGCTCTGAGTGTGGGGCTTAGGAGTTACTCAAGCTGAAGCAAAACAAGCATCACGGAAATGAGTTCCTATTGTTCAGAAAGAATGCTTAAAGCTGATTCCTCAGGAGAACAATGGCTTCATTTCTTAATGCATAAAAACAGCCCTTTTAGCTGGCTGTGTCTTAACACAACAAACAAATTCACAGCATAAAAATATCCCAGCCATTCCAAGTCAACTCTGTGCTTTTCTCCTCCAGTGACGTGGATGTCAGTTTACTCAGTGTACCTATTCAGAAGCCTAGCGGAAGCTTCTGCTAGAAGGCCTGGAGCCCTCCAAACACAAACGCCTAGAGTTCTCTTATTCCCCGTCTCAGTCTTCAAGACTGAGCAAAGCCTTGGAATCATCTTTCCTCCAGCTGAGCTCAGAACCACTCCTCTTACTTGGGGGAGAAATGCCACATGTGCTCCTCAGCACTATACCCTTCCACCAAGGACAGAAGTCACCTCCTCTTTCGCTGTGGACTTCTTCGCTGAGTGATAAATCAAGCACAGCTCTGAGACAGAGGGAAAATGCAGTGACAGTTGTCAAAGTCATGGTTTTGGATCTTGGTTCTGCCCCTAGCTAGTTCCATAATCCTGAGCAAGGACAGGGAAGTACTTTATGTAAAATACTTTAAAAGAAAGAGAAAAACATCCATAGAGTTTTGTCAGGCATCATATCTTATTATACCTTACAGACCATCAGTGAGGAATTTTGAAAATTATAAAGAGCATGCACAAGAAAATAGGTTTAAACAGTAAAGTGCTATGCTGATCTTAGATATATATTTATCTTTCTATTATATACATATATATGCATATGTGTGTAAGGTGGTATTATTATTTGGAGCAGAAAGGATCCCCAAAATCAATTATCATTCCTCACTTTATAAAGCAGCACTTATCTGACAGACATATGGAGGTGCAGAGAGAAGCCATGTACTTTCTCTAAGGCCTCATAGCTATTATTTGCAGTGTGGAGACCAGAAACTGGGTTGGGACCATTTCAAATAGGTTTTCTGCTACCACTGCACATTTGAAGTAAAATGAATGCTAACCTGAGAATGTAGCCTTGGCCTCTAAAGAAAAAAAATCGATCTTTCAAATCATTAAGTAAAAGCACATCAATTCACTTCCAAGCAAGAACATACACATAATAGTCTTTCTTCGTAAGGATATCTAAAACTGCACTTGAGCCGATGGGAAGCCACCGTGCTCATTTATTATTCATGCGGGACATAAAAGGAAAGCCACAGAGCTGACCGTAGCTCCTCTGGAAAGAGCAGGATTTGTACAGACTCTGTCACTGGCTGCAGGCCTGAGAGGTGCTCAGACTGAGCAAGGAGGTGCAGTCTAAGCAAAGCCACTCTGGCCACGGCTGCGGATCCCAAAGCCACTTGGGCTGTAGCCGCAGGCTCCTGCTTCAAATCAGCTTCCCACGATGAGACAGTTCAGTTTCCTGACCTCTGCAAACAAGGGTGAATTGTGTGCATTAAGCTTCCCTTGCTTCATCATAGCTAGGTTTGGGGAAAGAGAGGAAGAGAGACTAGTAAAAATTAGTGGAGATTAGAACTGGTGATTTGGGGTATTGTTAAAGTCCTGCTGGTGGGAGGTGCCCAACAACCAAGTCCTTGCCGGCTCCAGGTTGGGGACTGCCTGGCTCAGTCAGGGTAGGATAAGATGGAAAGGTGTCAGGTGCAGACTCCAGGCCCAACTGCTAAGTCTTATCAAAGACAGACATCAACATACACACACACACACGTGTGTATACACACACATTTGTATACATATAAGAGAGAGAGAGAGAGTTGTGTATGTGTACACAGAGAGAGAGAATAACAGACAGAGAAATAGGCACAGAGACCATTTTAGTTCTAGTTTGTTTTAGTTCTAAATCTGTAAATGGAAGGTCAAGATGTAGCAGAAATTATGAATCACACTTCTTATTTAAGTCAGTAAGCACTGGCTACTGTATCTTAACTCCTTCACCTATTCCTTTATACTCACTACTAATCACAGAAAAAATATATTCATTAAGCTTTTACGATGTGTCAAGCAGTCTTCTAAGAGCTTTACAGGAATTTCTTCAGTCTTCATACAATCCTATGCAAAAGAACTAGCAATTTCTCCATTCTCTTCCATACTGGAAGGTGAAGTAACTTGCCCTGCACCCAGTTATCTGCTGGCAGGCTAGTGGTAGATCTATAGAGATCTCCCCAAATGTTCTTTTTCTTACCCCAAACCAACCCAATTCTAGTTGATCAGGTTATATGAGATTATATTATAGTCCATATATTACAAAGAAAATCATTCCTAAGAAACTGAATCAAATCAAGAACAAAATAAAATGCATTTACTGTGATTTGAAAATGTAAAAGTTAAACCAATTAAGCAGCTTAGTTGCCTCATTTATAACAGATGTAGAAGGTCATAAGCAGTCAGAGCAAGACATCTGTCTCACTTTTACAATTTTAAAACAAACAAAAGTGATTGCATGAAACATTTGATGAAATGGCTTCATTAAAGTATAAACTCTCATCTTACCTCACATATAATGAAATGGGCACAACGGTATTGAGAATAATAATGTATGACCAGAACGTTAAGAATCCTGAGAATATGGAGTCCTTCTCTTCTTCATTCCAAAAGAGGAAAGTTCTGAACTGGCCCCCAACTTGATTCTCCCAGATTGAATTTCCTATTGCAAGAATAATTCCCAAGCATGCCAAAAACCCAAAAATCTGAAATAAGAATAAAAGTCTGGTTAAGATTAACTTGAGCCCAAAACTAGGCATATGAACATTATCTAACTACACTTCTAACTCCAAGAAATCATCATCTGAACATCAAGCTATACAAACCTCTTATTTCTTACCATTAATCTATCTGAACAAAATTTAATATTTTTATGTCAGAAATATTGCTAAGTATTTGACACACATTTTCTCAATCTCCCATTGACTGAGTTAGAAACAATCATTATGCATACTTTACAGATGAAAAACAAAACAAAATAAAACAGAAAGACTCTAACTTGTCCACGGTCTCATAGCTAACAACTTCACAACCTCAGCTTGTGACAAAAGCATATATTTAAGTAGCTTAAGTAAAGAAGACTCCGTGCCCTGATTTGCTCTAGACAGCCTCATTTTACATCTATTGTCCAGGTGGAGTGTTACTAATGCACCCTTTCACCTTTGTGGGTGTCTTTCCAAGGTGTGATCAAAAATAAGGTGAATGTTGCTGCTAAGTGCCACCCAACAGAAAGGCAGCTCATATCAATGTGATGGCTTGTCTTCATCTACTTCATTCGCCAGATCTGGCATTTTGTGGCTTCTGGCTGCTCCACAAAGTTGAAATGACCATGAAAGGGATGTTTAGAATCGATTTAGGACATTCGGGCAGCCAGAACAGTGCAACTAAAGATACTCACAAAACAGGACTTCCAGAAGTGCTCCAGAAAGTGGCCAGAATGAGGAGATAAGTGTGTCTGAAGTGAGGAAGAATATTTTAAGGTAGGATTAACAGCAATGTGTCCTTTACTGTAATAATTTTTTTAAAACTTAAATATTCACCATATTTTTATCATACCTCATATAGACTTTCATTTTGAGAATTAAAAAAGGGAGAAACATCTTGAAAATTGTTAGCAGATGATTCCACTGTTATTAGTATCAAGACTTGGAAGACATTTTGGAAATATAGTGATTAGAGACAAGGAAGTCAGTCCACTGCAGGTCTAAAATCCCTGCCTTGGAAAGGAAGACACCAACCCAGCGACCATGGGAAGACCTGAGTGGAAAATGTGATGGGGGGACTTTATTCTAAGTGTCATGCTGTCAGAAGTTGAGGCTAGAAAATAGGGAGGTGTTCCTTTCTATTTCCTTCTTCTTCCAAGAAAGAATAATCATAAGTTCTAGAATCACTTTCTTCTTTATTGTCTCCTAAATAAAATAAGGGCATAAGAAGATAACATGGGGGGAAACTTTAAAGTATATGAAGGAACTATATACTGGAGAAAAGTAGAAATAGGAATCACCAATGTCTTGCCAATTGTGTACCTGCACCATGGTAGCTGTTTTGTAATGGTTGATGCTATAAGTTAATTGAACTGAGTTGTTTTTAAAGCATTAAAATTGGTGATACTTGGCATTAAATGTCCTAAGTTAATGATGGATTTCCCTGCAAGTCCCCAGAAGATTACCTATTTTCTATTACAAGGAGCTAGGAGAGTCCCTGCTTCACATCCAGTCATCTTACTCTGTGCAGAATGCAGTACAAATACAGAACTCTTATTCAAGCCATGGAAGTGGGATTAGGGCCATTTAAATTGAGAATCATAGATGCACGTGCCACCTTAGTCCCATGAACTCTGCCCCAGGGCAATGAGTTTAGCTGGAGGAAAGCCAGGTCTGGGGGTGGTACTTAAACCAAAACACAGCCTGGCTAATATTTTGTACCCAACAAGTATTAATTTCCTTCTTTCCTTATTCAGAGTCCAACTCTTACATATCAGTTAAACAAATATATACTGAGCTCAGATGTTTTAAGACTGCTTGTAAGCTGTGTTGAAGTGCATAGGGAAACATGGTTCAATGCCGCTGTCCCCATGTTTCAGTGCCTTCAAACTTAACACCTCCATAAGGGACAAAGCAATGAGTCTCAAATAATAATCAGATCAATAATATAACATAACACAAGATTAACTAGCAAGAAGGTAAGATGTGAGGAATATCTGATTGTATCTGGTAAGTGAGTGGAGAGAAAAATCACTTCCAAAAATTCAAGGGAGAAAAGAATTCATAGGAGAGAAAGAGAGAACTATGAACTAAAGAGGTTTAGGTAGCTCTGTAAAGGACACCTGGGACTTGATCAACAGAATCAGCCACATAATTTGCAGGGACCAGTGCAAAATGAAAGAACATGGTCAATGTTAAAAAGTAGTAGGCATCATCTCTAGACAGCTACAGCAGATCAATAATCTACCATAAGATCCTTCAGAGTGTAGGGGCCTTTCTAGCAGCATGAGTCGTTCACCACGGAATTCAGCCCTGCCGGAGCTATGTGAAGAGGATCTGAGCAAAGGTAACACAATCAAAACACCACACTGCCTTTACAATTATGTTTTGTTTTTCAAACACAAATCCTTGGACTAGAGGGAATTTGCAAGACCATGAAGGCCTTCATGGGCACTAATCTACCTCTCATGATAAATTCTACCATTGGTTGAGAGTTCATCACAACCTAGGAAGCAGAAGGTGGCAAAACTCTATGAGAAGAATATAGGCTTCTGAGAGAATGCCCAGAAAAACAAAAGAAATATATTAAGATAATGACTGGCGATATTGCCTGATTTTCTTACTGTCACTCACCCACAGCACTAGTGTATTCATCAATCTGTCAATGCTTGTCCTTTTAAACTTTGTCTTACCACTGTTTTGTATGAGTTTAGTGTCGGGACCTGCAAAAAAAAATCAGTGACAACTTTGAAACAACTAGATCATGTGTTGTTATTATTGTCATTAACTCTTACTCATACCAGTGTTTCTGAAAGGTAAAATACAGTTCTCAAACTAATTTAAGTTGTATTAAGAGTAAAGGTCATTAAGTTGTATATGGTTTGTTTGCTTTTTGTTTTTGCAGTGCTGATGATTGAACCCAGGACCACGCACATGCTAGGCAGCTGCTCTATCACTGAGCTATTTCCCAACCCTTATAAATGACTCTTAACTGGAGATTTTAAAACAATCCCAGTCACAGAAACAGAACAGGACTCAGTAGAATAAGTCCACGTAGAACTGGTTGCTGTAAAGTTTAAGAAATGCTCTTTATCAAAAATCTGTACATGAATGTGCTTCCAGTTTGAAGTAGTTAAAGACAACAAACTCAATAAAAGAAAGGAATAATTTGGAAATATTAAAAGAATGAAGTAACAAACAATTCAGAATGCTAAGGTCAAAAAATGAAAGATAAAATACCAAATTCCAGATCTGCTTCCCCAAAAGATAAAGCTTTGAGGTGTTTCTAAAATACAAACTTGTTTAAAACTCCAAAAAATTCAGTAAGTCAATTAAACCTTTTATTGTGACTGCAAACTGTATATGCAATATGTACTTTTTGTAAAGCAAGAATTAGTCTTGTATTTTCATGCTATATTTACAAGCACCTTTCAAAGAATTCTAAGATTATGACTAACAGCTTTAGAGGGGGTTATTAGATTATTAGCAAATCAGAGTATTACAATATATTGCTAAGAAAATTCCTTATTTATAGAGAAAAATGCTAGGAGCATTTTTTTATCCTTTTATTGGTGCATTTTAGGTATACAATATAATAAGATTCATCATTGGAAATTTGCATCTTTACATAATCTCTCTTGGTTCTTATTTTTCCCCCTTCCCCTGTCCTCCCTTCAACCCCTCCATCCCTCCCTATTTACAAAGACTTTTCCATTTTTCCATTTTCTCATATTAATTCCATTCCCCTTTCCTTTCCCCTACCCCTCCCACTTCCCCTTCCCCTTTGCCCCTTTTCTTCATATTTCACATTATCTATTATACCTTTTAGTAGGAGCATTTGTTTTAATTACAACTGACTTCTATAGTGTTCCCACTACACACTGTCTTCCCATTATTACTAATCTCTGCAGTCACTTAATGTAGGAGGAAGGAGAAAACGAAGAAGGGAGAAAGGGAGCACATGAAATCATCCAGTCTGGACACTGGGAAAGGGCGGGCAGACCCTTAAACACCCTTCTTTTCCTTAAGAGAAATATAGAAGCAAAAATAGGGGTCTCAGAACAATGCATTATCTTGAGTTGGAGACTGAACCCCAGTGCCCTATTTCCAGGACTGATGTGTATAAAAGATCTCTTACTTTCTCATAATGGTTTACTGAAGTCATATGGGCATTGCAGGTGAGAAATAGTGGTTTTGTAGGGAAGATCACAAAAACCAAATAAAGTTTGAGATTTCTAAAAACTGAAACATTGACAGAGAAGTTTGGTGCTAAAAATTTATATCTCTTACGTATATGAACATACACAGACTAATAAGGAATCCACTTTAGGGGTTGATAAGCAGTTACTTATATACACCCACAAATGATATATATCTTCTTCCCTTCAGGATTCCTTGAAGGAATTTTCCATGCTCAACAACCCCTATTTCCTCATCTCAGTCATTACTCAGCCTCGTTTGGGGGCCAGGCTCTACAATCAAACATCTGGTGATCATCAATAGCCTCTGTGACTCATTGACCTAGGCAGCCTTCAACATGGTTGGCTGCTCTCTCCTTCTGAAATACACTCTGCTGTCAGCTTCTGTGTTGCAGTGTTCTCCTGCTTTCACCCCTACTTCTTTGGTAGCTCCCTCTCTGTCTTCCATGATGCCTCAACCCTCTCCTCAGGTGTTAAATACTGCGATTTCTTTAGACTCCAGCATAGGTCACCTCTTCTTACTCAATCCACCTGCCCTGGCCAATCTCACCCAGGACCACAACTTTAATACCATCTACAGACCAAATGTGTATCTCCAGCTCTCTCCTCCAATGAGCTCTAAGACCATATATTTAAGCCCATGTGTTTAGTTGCCTGTGTGACCTCCACTTGGATCTTTCTAGAGCCCCTTAAGTCATCCTTGTCCAGCCTAGCTAGGGATCTTCCTCCAAGCTCCTTCTCTCAAAAAATGACCCCACCATCCATCCCACTGTAATGGTCAGGAGACACATACGAGTCGTAGTTGATGCCTCTCCCATCCTCAACTTTAAATCTGGTCATCAAACCTTGTCAGTTCAACATTCTAAAAAGCTTCTGGTTTTCTCCATTTCCATAATCTCCACCTAATCCAAAATGCCACCATCTCTCAACTGTAAAAACATAGTACCTTCATCTCCACTCTGCCCAGAACTCCCATCAATGTCTTTCCTTCTCCTCACGCCTTAGTCATGCTTTCTTTTCAGGATCTGATCAATATTTACAGACATTACAAACACCATCTATGCAAGAGTGAACCTTTTGCATTTAACATGAATAGACTCCACCTGTTAATAACTTGTGCTGGGTCCCCCACACTCTTAAAGACCAAAATCCTGGATACCAACCACAAGGTCCTGCTTGGTCCTCCCCAGTTCCATGCTCACAGTCACATTTCTGTCTCTGTCCTCTGCTCTGTGCCCCACTGTATCGTTACTACTGTCACAAGGCTTTGGCCCCTGATGGGCCTGCGGGCCAGCTACCTCCTTCCTTTCCCTACACCCTTCACCTCCTTCTCTCTCCTCTTTGCCCCCAGAAACCCCAGTGTCCATTCATCAGGAAACCTTTCTCTGGAGCTCAAGTCTCATCACTTTGCCCCATCATCATACGCTTGTGTGGCTCTGTTCTCTTTCTTCAAAGTTCTTATCTTGCTATGAGATTATGCAGTCATGGCTATGATTAGCTGATATTACTGTCTCTCTTTCTCCTACAAGACTGAGGGTTCATGAGTAGAGAGATTACATTTGATTTTTTATTCACATTTTTACTTCACAGTGTGTAAGCATCACAATGCCTCTCATACAGTGGAAGTCAATAATTAAATTTTAGTAAATTAATTAATTTATTGAATACCTATTGTTTTAGGCAATGTGCCTATGTGCTTTTAAGCTTTCATATCAGCTAATACTTACAATAACTCAACAAATTAGGTACAGAAATACTCCATTCACTAATAACAAAACAGAAGCTTAAAGAATTTAACTTGCCCAAGATTGATCTAGTCTAGTCACCAGTTGAGTCTTAATATATCTAACTCTAAAGCTCTTGCTTTTAAACTGCTATTTGTGAACCTGCATGAGTCCGTCAACTAATAAACAGTTTATAAGGCTTAAAGGGATGAGGAATTTTTATATCTGGACAAAGAATTCAATCTATCTACCTGGGAAACAGTTTCAGTGATGAGTCAAAAAATAAAATATAGACATTTAAGACTGTGTCCATTTAAGACTGTGTCCTTTTCAGAACTAGGACAGGAAACAGATGACACATTGATCAAGGATAATTACAGGGGTGTCTTTACAAGGAGACTCTTTAGAGGGATGGATTGCCACTGGATCCCAGGGTGAAAGGGTGCAGGGTTTGCAGCCTTTGGGGAAAGTGACCTTTGGTTGAGGGATCCAGCCTGCCAGATGTGACCACACAAGAATGTAGCCTGGGGAAATAAATACCTTGGCCTTAATCCTCTTTCTCCCTTTGATCTCTTCCAGGAATCCCCTAGTCAGAGTCCAGCTAGAGGACAAAATCTAATGAAACCCATTAGTGTCGACCACACAAGTCAGCCTCCAAGGCAAAGAAAAGGTTGGAAGAGGGTGACAGCAGACCTGGGGGTGCAGATGGGGACAGCAGCACCAAAGCCCATGTGTGCCAAGATGGTGCTGGACACAAGACCCCTCCAGGAGCGAGACTCCCACTCTCACAAGCAGGACTCGCCCCTCTCCTGGGCAGAAAGCAAAGCCAGTGCTGGGAAGCATGGCCCGCTGTCAGGACGTATAGGCCTTCCTAAGCTACAGGCTTGTCAAGTCCACCACGTCCCGCAACTATATTCCTCTTACAATTCTTAGAGGTAGTACAACTAGAGTCATAATAAAAAAGAATTCCTTTTGTATTTATTCACTGTTGTAAGATCTAAGTATTCACCTGAAACTAGTTCCTCAACCAAATGTCTCAAGACTTGGGAGATGAGAGACACCCATCTGTTCAACTCTGACATGAACAACATGGAGCATTAATTCCTCTGTTGCCATTCTGCTAGTTGAGTCTCCCTTCAGTGCCCAGACCAAGGTCAACGGAGGTCTCCTCTGCTTTGCAAATGCCCAGGTGCTCAGCGCCCATGGTGAATACCCAGGACCCATCACAGAGGACCAGGAAGCCCCTGTTCTCCCCCACCAAGGAAGAAAACACTTGCCCGGCACCCTCCTCTGGGAGCATCGTCTTAGGGGCCTCTGCAATGTACTCTCTTTTGACTTTTATTAGTCTGTGTTTGCAGAACAGAATGATCACATTCACTACGGAGTGTGTACAGGTACCTAACGCATCACAATTCCTTTCCGTCCCTTCCCCTCCCCTGCATCTCTCGGTCCCTTCCCTTTTGCAAAAGGTCCCCCTGTTTCCTATTCATTTTGTTCTTTATTTATATGCTGAGTTTCTCATATAAAAGAAACCATATGATATTCAAGCTTGTGTGTCTGATATTTCACTTAACATTATGGTCTCAGGGTATATCCGCTTTCCTAAAAATGATTCCAATTTACCCTTCTTTATGGCAGAGCAGTAAGTCCATTGTGTATAAACACCACATCTTCTCTATCCATGCACTCATTATCATGTCCACGTTACAGCAGAAGAAACAAAGCTTAACATTTGAGTAACCAAGGATAAGTCCTATAGCTGGTAAACCCAGATCTGGCTGACCCAGATTTCGTGAGCTTTCTGTTGTATCCCATGGAGGAGACCTGCTCCACTTACCTCCCTACTTCTCTTAGGTGGCACCGTTGCCCCCTGGACAGTCTTACGAAGGAGAACTTGGCCCATCCCAACAGCCCTCCTAGCATCACACGGTGCAGCAGGACCAGAGCCCTGAATTAGCCATTCCAAATAAAACCCTCCAAACACAAACTTTCCCACTACAGCCCCATTCCCAAGCTGAGGCTGACAGGGCAAACCAGGGGGACCTTCCAACCAGAAGACCTAGAAGAATTCTCCCTTTCATCAAGTTGGAAGGTAAAAGCAAGATTATGGATAAGCCTCTCTCTCTTGTTTCTCAGCAAGAAATATGCAAATAAGGAAAGAAATAATCATAGGTTTATTTCCCTGACTAAAGAATAAAAGCCTCTGATGAAAGAATCGTGAAGCCCAACTCATCCCCAGATGAAAGTGCTATGTGCCTCCTTTCTAGGGATTTCCCAACTAAGTCCTTCCAATGGCGACACCCGGAGCAGCAAGAGCTTGCTCAGACCCACAGCTGAGAGCATTTAGGAGCAATTGGGAGGACTTCTCTAGCTTTGGAACACTTTGGAGTCTTTAATGAACATTTTGTTGTTGCTGAGGAAAGTCAGTGAAGAAAAACATTCCAGTTTTGATTGCGCATATAATCAGCAAACCCAAAACACATCTTAATTTGGTGTCACAATAAACAGGATTTTAAAAATCAAGGACTGGCAATTGAAGCCATGAGTACAGTTTGAGTGGCTTTATGAAATGGTGCTACCGTAAGCTTCCTGAGCAGGACAGTGGCACATTGGATCCATAGGATAAAGCAGAGAAAGCAAAAATGGCAGATAACAAGGGCTGGAGGGCATCCCCTCCCCATCCAATCCCCAAGCCCCATCACACACAGCTTTCCCACATCCCACTGTCCTGTTTACAAACAGCAGAAACAGCTACAGAATATAAACAGAAGTGACTGCAGGATCTCCAAGAAAGCTTTCCCAAAGGAGCTGCTTGACCTTTGCAAACTACAATCTGAGCAGCAAAGCACAGAACTTGTTTTCATATTCTTCCCTCATGTAAAGGTGGGTTGATTAATCCATACGAGAGCAGGGATGTTTGAGCTGTGACTAGGGAGAGAGAAATTCAACAGCAGGAATCTAGTGCTCCCACAAGGGGCCTCACATCCTTGAGACTAAGCTCAAGAAGTCCAGGTCCTGGAACAGTGGGTTTTCCACTGGAACCCTACATTCTCAAGTCACCTCCAGAGGAGCACTTTGCATAGGGTCATGGAAACTGGAGAGCCACAGGCCATGCTGCCGTGCACTGCAGGAAGGGCCTAGATCTGGCCCTGGGCCACGAGTTGTACCTGCAAAAATAACCATCCCAAAGCACCAGCTGGTGTTCCTCAGGATGCAGCCTCTCAGGATTATCTTCTGGTTGTTGAGCGAGTGCTTGCTGTCCTTCCAGGACAGGACTCCCACGAACTTATCTAACTTATTGTTCGGTGCCTCGCAGACCACAGTCCCTGAAAAATAAAAAGGCAGACTTCTTTATGACTCACCTGGAGCTCGCTTTAGGAGGCCACGGTTCTATTTTACCACCTTACTTTCTGTACACCACACATTTTCCCTTCCCTTTTAGGCAGCATGGTTATTACATATGCAGGATTGCGCTAGGAAAAAATAAACTGGGAAGAACAAAAATGGAAACCCATCAAATATTTTAAAACGTAGTTTAAAAATGGACTGTCCAAAAAAAATGGAAACCACAGAAGTCATGAAATTTTTTTTCTTAAAAATAAAAAATTAAAAATCACTTTATTTCTGATTTGTGGCAAATAATTTTTGAAACTACAGAGCAGTGACTGTCCTACAAGTTTTCCTCTCGGTGTGAAGTGAACTGCCATGCAGGTCACCGTGGCATACATCCGGTCTCATGGCCAAAGTTAAGCACCTTTATGGCTCATAATCAGGACTTAGGGGTCCTTCATATTCCACCCCAGGGAAACCAGCACTTTGTTTGCCCTGTGTGCTTGAGAATGTGTGTGATTCCTTTCACCTGCTCTGTGGTTCTTATCTTGATTAGGTCCAGAGTTCTGGGGACTCTCAGAAGCACCATATAACTTGCCCAAAGTGGCCAGAAGATGTTTCTAGTTTTTGAAATTCCAAGCCCATTCCAAACCAATGAATCAATTTGTTCCATTAGTTCAATCAGAAAATACACATTCAGGCTGAGGGGCACTCTAGATAGAAAAAGAAACCAGAGATAGTCTTATGAAAGCTATAATAGATATAACTATCAGATTGACAGGCATTTCTATTGCAATTAGGGTTAAATTTTTAGAATGAATGAGCACAAAGACAGGAAAGACCAAAACAGAGGGAGGAAAAAAGAGAGAGAAGGAAAGAATGCAAAAGGTGGCTATGGGTAGATCACCAGTGAGATCCAGCACCTACAACTTTCTCACTCTTAAAACAATTAAAACACATGTATTCCATCAGAAGTCAAGAGGTAAAGTGAAACATAAAAAGCACCATTTGAAAAATAAAGAGGGGAGACATCTCCAGCATCAACGGGAGACCAAGGAGATACACTTAGAGAACTTCTCTATGATGCTGTCTCAGTCAGGTCCATTATGATAACAGATACCTGAGGCAAATCCATGTATAAAGAGAGAAGGCCCACGGTGGCTCCATTTTGGAGGCTTCAGTTCATGATGGATCAGCCCCATGCTCTAGGCCTGGGCAGAACATGGCGGCAGGAGGACATAGCAGAGCAAAGCCATTCACCTCAGGCTGGGACAGGAAAGAGACAGAGAAGAAACGAGAATCCCACCATCCCTGGTGGGGGCACACACTGATGACCTCAAACTCCCCATCAGATCCTACCTTGGAAAGTTCCCATCACTCCCAGTAGCACCAACATGAGGACTAAGCTTTCAACTCAGGCTTCTGGGGGACGTTTAAGGCCTGAACTTTAGTGGCTGCTGACTCCATTCCTCTCTACTCCACCTTCTGAGCATAAAGAAGCTTATTATGTGGTTCCCTTCCTTCCAAACAAAATGGCAGCCAATTCTCACATGGCCTGATCATGCCTCAGTAACAGGGCAAATCTTTCTAACAGCCTTTTCCAATAAGGACAAACAAATACTGAAAGGGACAGGGGGCTCCTTCCTCTTCAGACTGCTTCTCCAACCTCCAGCTACCTTTCCCAAAGACAACAAAATGTAGGGGCGCTCACTGCAGCGTTTCAGACATGTGGACATTTTGGATGAGACAAACAACCTGTCCATGGCCATTTTTATACCAAGGGAGGTGGCTGAACTGTGGTTGGCTCCCAGTAGACCCTATTTATTTATTAAAAAGTAAATTAAAACAGATTTAAACTGGCTCAAGTTGTTTGGACGACTACATTGTGGTAAGGAGACTTTTTCTAAAGTCTCAGAATTCATTATCTTTATTTGTCGACCAATGATTTTTACTCTTGAATTTTGTAGAACCTTGAATTTCCCTGTGTAAAATAATAGTCCTCTAAAGCTCATTTCAGTTTCTTGACCCAAGACTCCATTTCTCGGGCCTCAAACTTGACGAATAAAAATAAATAAAAATTTTTAAAAATGTGATTTGGGCAAAAACAACGTGATGCACGGTCCCTGCCAATAAGAATATAAAAAACAGGTTCATTTGATCATTTTTATTGTTGTAAGCAAAGACTGACATGGAGGCAAAGACTGCCTTGAACATGTTGGCTTCCCACTCCCTGGCCCCAGGGGCTCAGCCTCTCTGGCTTCACCCCAAGGGTGTGGTTCTAGACAGGAACAGGCATTCAGGCCAATGGGTTCTGCTTGAGTTCTCAGAGGTCAAGCCCCAATTCAGCCTTTCTCAAAGAGTGTGGTCCTGGTGATTGAAGTACTAAATACAGGACCAGTCAAAACAGAATGGTGGGAACAAAGCCAAACTTCCTTTTCCCATCATCCTCAGAAGCTCTCAGCTTCCCCTTTCTTAGTCTCGTCATTATAAAACACAAATTTCCTAATTTCTTTTCTGCCCCTTTCCACAAAAGAAGAGGTTCCTTTGAAGGGAGTATCTCTATAGTCCCATAATCTACCACACTGTCTTTATGATCAGGTCTTAATAAATATTTGTGGAAGAGATGAATGGGAAAAATGTTAAGATGGTTTCAAGAGAGAGGTTGGAAGATGAGATAAATATTAGAGCAAAGATGAACAGAAAAAGTAGACATAGTTCCCTGGCAATAATGACAAAGGAAATTAGAACATTAGATAGTCCAGCCACAATGCGGGGGGTTAAGCTGACCTAACAAACAAAAGTCAAATAGATCCAAGAACAGTGAACAAAGGTGGGAGTCTCAAAGCATGTCAGAGGCAACTAAAATGGATCCTCATCATAACACATAAGGTGGATTAGGGGAAAACTCTCTTCGAACCTTTCCTTTTTCCTTTTTTTCCAATTGTTTCAGAGATGAGAAGAGAAAGAGGCATTAAATGGTTAGTTTGACATTGATAAGGAAACCATTTAGGGTAAATAGCATCTTTCCTCACATAGTCATTCGTTGAATATATGATTAGAACATATCTTTATGATACAACTGGGGAGATCATGTCAATAATGAAATAAATAGGTACAATTAAACTAGCACGTTTCATTTGTTTGTCCCTCCAAAAAGATGTGAAAGCCAACAATAACCCACCCATTTTACAATCACATAGAAATGCCCATTCTAAACGAGATCTAACAGATCCCCTTCTGGATCTATTCCACACTCCAATAGACAGCTGGAATATAGTTAATTACTCACTTGAGAAACTTCTCAAACTCAAGTACCTACATCAGTACCCAATATTCCATGATTCTTCAAAGAAGTTAACTTCATTTCTCTCCATATATTATTAGCAATATTTCTTGACTATCTACCCTGCAACTTTTCCATAAGAAAAATCACACATCAAATAAGATATCAGTGCTGCTGCTCAAGAGTTTTTGTAGCCAAAAACTTCTTAGAGTGTAGGATATTGCCTGCTCTTGGTGCCTGATGGTTATGATAAATTTTTTTTTCTTAGAAAAGTGTTACCTCCTATTTTCTAAAGCCCCCTTTTTCTTTAACCATTAAGTCTTTAGCCAACCATCATGACCACCAGCTTTGCCACATTAGCACCAGCAGAAAGCAGGATTATTCCGCATGTCTTTACATAGAACCTACGTCTCATCCATCAGTTGTGCTATTGGACTGTCCCTCCAACAATGAGAACGGAAGAGCTATCTTATAAGTTTAAAGAGCCACAAGATGCTAAGCCAGCCTTTGTATTTCCTTTTTAACCAGAAAGAGATGCTTATTTTTTCTGTGCTGTAATTACACACATGCTATTCTTTAGAAAGGACCACAAAATACACAAAGATGCCTGAATAAAGAGTCAACCTTTCTCTGTTTCAGAATTTGGTATTAACAGTCATACAAAATATGTAAACTTGTCATGAGTTGCAAAAAACAGATTTCAGTCCATTCAGTAACAACAGACAAAAGATTCTTGAACACATTTGGACAATTTACATCCGGGGCTTTCCCCAAGGCATAAGAATGTCCAGTTTACAAAAGTAATTGACAAGTATTTCCAGTTACGTATTAGTAAAAGCTTTTCGATTCCCATAAGACTTTAACATGGAAAATCATGGGCCACTCAATTTTTTATAGTTGCTATAATATTAGATTCAATTATGTATTTTTTCTGATAAAATTTAACAGGCTTTTTCAGGTGTTTAAATGTATAAAAAAATTTTTATGGGAACTTTTCAGTTAAGTGGATTTTACCTACTAAAACTTATCCCTGTCTTGTGTGTCCTGGCCAGTCTTCTTACAAATTCTTGCCAGGGATCCTGACATTCAAAATCACTGAGAACATTGCTATGTAAACTTATATATGATGTCATCCTCCCACTGGAGGGACTCGTTTTCTGGTCATTAATTTTGCTCCTCTGGGGTTAGGTTAGAGTATTTTAGTCAGTTAGCTAGTTTGTTAGTTAGTTACTTAGTTGTGCTAATCTGCCCTCACTATCCAGTGCTGCCTTGTTGCTGATAGTGTAGAACCTGAAACTTCGTGCCCTTTGTCAAACAAGCTTCGCCAGCAGTCTGAGGTTCATGTTCTGACTCTTTGTCTGATAACCACAATATTGGAAACCATGCAATTCACTGAGGTCTCAGATTCCCTATTCACAACTTGAAGCTAATAATAATCTCTTCCTTCAAAAGCTATAAGGATTTAATAAGATAATGTGTGCAGTTACTAGTAAACATGGTATCTGATACATAGCAAGTACTTGTCCATGTGTCAACATCACAATTAGGGCTTGAGAACTTTGGAATTTTCCCTTTTAAAGTCTTCTTTGAGATGAGCCCTTGTTCTAGTCTGTCTTCTTTCCTTGCCCTGTGAGGGCAAGACCTGGCTCTACTAACCACTATATCCCCAGGCAAATCCCCCAGCACTGCGTGAAGTCTGTGTTTATTCAATAAATTAATTAATTAATAAAAAAAAAAGCTCATGCAATGCTTAGAGCTCACAATCAAGACCCTATCCTTAGGTATAAATGCAAAAGTGGGGAGGCAGGGAGACCAGTGAGAGACATCCCAAAGCCAAACATATCTGTTCTAGCCCTACATCGATTCGGAGTCCTCAATTTGGGGTCAGTCCTCTGTTGGGACTTCTCTAGGAATAAGAACAGGAAATTCAGGTCTTCGGATACTTGGAAGGTGTGCATTTATGATATAAGGATGGGAACTGTATTTTGGTGCTAGTCAAAGTATTCTGGCAAGTCTCAGAAGGAAAAAACCACAGAATAAATAGAAGCAAAAATAATGTGACACCCAGATTTGCCCAGAATTCCCAAACTAGAAGGACATTTAGCACAGTCAGAACATGGGAAAGAGCAGGCTCCCATATCGGTCTCAGCTATACCTTGCCACAGCTGGGCAGGTATTTTCAAGGGCACACAATGCTGACATCACACTTCTAAGTGAAACGCAAAGATGCAGCATTTGCTTTAGACTCCCATGACTTGAAGAAGTCTTTTAGTCACCAGAGGAAAACCTGAGATCTACTGATACCTCAGTAAGGCAAAGGGGATAAAGAAGGCCCAAGAAAGGGGACAGGAGGATATTGGTGAGGAAACGGATCACAAGAACCTTGCTAATATATGTAGAGATGTTTTATAATTCTACATACTTGTTTTATAATTCTACATATATATTTGTTTTAGAGCTTGTCCATAGGTGTTTAATAAATAGACTTTAAGCTAATTCACATGGAGAGTATGATAAAAACAGGGAAAAAAATGAATGAAGGAAGGAGAAAGCCAGTAGAGAATAGAATAGAAGAGAAAGATGGAAATAGTTCAAGAAAGTCTAAAAGGGAAAAAAGGAAGGAGAGAGGAGAATGATGAAGTGGGGAAGTCAGACAAATGTGTGTAAATCACAGACAGTGCATGAACATGTGAGAGAGAGCCAGAGAAAGGTTGGAATTACAACATGTAAATGAGGACTTGGGAAGCAATCAATGGAGGAAAAACTAAAAGATCCAGCAAGAAAAATCATGGGAAAGATGCAGAATTTGCTAAGTGCCCCAGCTTTTTCAAAGGCTTTTCCCTACCACATCTTACCTCACTCTCTTGGCCTTTAAATTTGGCTATTAACAAGGGAAATCTAATTTTTATATTGTATCTAATTTATTTCCCCTTCATCCATCTATTCATTCTTCGGATGCTCTCTTGGAAACAGGAAATGATACTTTAATAATTTAATACTTTAATGATTCTACAAAATACCATGTTACCTCAAACTTTAAGATAGATTAAAATGCAACCCAAGATGGAAGGATGAAAAAGGAAATTTAGCAGAAACTTGGTTCTTAGCCCAAAAATGTACCAGCTTCATGAATTTGTCATTACATGTTCTCTGAAAAGTGACCACAGTTTAAGTACATGTAATAAACAGAAAAGAGAGATTTGTGCTGCCTTTATTTGGGAAAATAATTTTGCTTTGGGGATTTGTTGAGCTGCCAATCCTGTGTGAAGCAAATTCAGGTCACATCTAATAAGTATTAGTTACTCATGCATTTTAAAAGTAAATTTTATGAAGTACTCTTCAGACTATTTCTAATGAAAGCAAATCTTTTAACCTCTTGGACCTTAGTAACCCCATCTGGAATACAGGAATGGTCTGGGGTTGGGGGAAGTATTTCTATGCATTGGCCAAGCAGCACTGTCTGCACTGATTTAAGTGTGTCTCTGTGTTCAGCTTTGATGGAGAAAGGATTCGAGAGTAAAGACATTGCCATTGCCTGACTCCAGGTGACCTCTCTCCTGCCCACCTGCCCACCTGCACTCTTGTTCATTCCTACAAGGCCCCTTCAGGAGCCTTGGCCCTGGTTCTGCCCTCCCTGGCTTCTAAGACCTGATACTGACCCTGCTCCTCACTCCCTGGGACCTACAACCATTTATTCATTCACTTATTCAGCAAGGATTTATTAAGCACCTAGTATGTGTAGGTGTGGAACAGTGGACAAAACAAAGACCCCCATGTAGCTTACTGAGAAACAGATGGAGATGGAAAACGAATAGTAAACTCTGAAAATAAATGAATTGCATAGCATGCCAGATGTCGGTGTGCCAGAAGAAGAAAAGGCAAGCAGGGTGGAGTAGGCTCACAGCACAGGAAGGAAGTGCTGTTGAAGAGGGGACACCTGGCCTCAGGCCTGCAGCTCCACATATGAAACCCAGCTACTGCAGCCTGGTTCCTCACGTTATCTTGTCACAGACATACGTGGTCACAACTCCCAGAGAGTGTGGCGAGGCGATGGTCAACACAGGTCAGTGTTTGTTGTTTGCTAGCCTCTTCTGTGGTCAGGCCTGGGCCAGGTGACTCATGACAGCCCATGAAACAGGACACCAAGAAACTGAAAACTCAGAGTGTCTCTTTCATCCCACCCTTACCCTGCCAAGTGACCCTTGGGGCTTTAGACTGAGTACAAAGGACACGGGTAGAAAAGGCTACCCAATCCCATTAGAATGCGCTATGAGCAAGAGATAGACATCACCGTGTTGATGCCACTAAGGTTTCGGGGTGTTGTGACTGCCTTACGGTGTAGGCTATCTGTGCCAATACTGACAAAAAGAACTAAGTAACTGTAACAATCATTTTCTGCTTTTTAATGGTCAAGGAGACATTTCCACCTCTTTATAAATTGACGAGTGTAAAGTTCTGCCAGGAAAGAAGTGAGTAATGGTAAATTATATTTAGGTTCTCCTTTAAGGACTCCATAAATATTCAGTGAGGTATTTTAAGCAAGTATTTTGATTCATGAATATAAATTACTGTTCTTGGATTCACATAACAGTAAAATTTCATTGAAAAAAAGTTAGAAAATGAGTAATTCGTTTTAATCTAATTGAAATAGTTCTTGGGCCATTCAAACTTTCCAGGCTAATCCCCTGACTTCAGTCTCAATTTGGAAGAATATTTTTAATAAACATTTATTATAATAGCACTCATTCAAGAGAGATTAAAATATGAACAGACTCCAGAACAAAGTTTACAGGCAAATGCAAAGCAAAGGTATTATAAGCTCTAAGGCTAAACTGCACTTTGGAGAACTTCACAATATAAACTTGCCTTGACTGTAACTCAAGGGACGATACTAAGTTCACATTTTCATATAGTGGACTCTAAAGAAAACAGTTTGGAAAGGTTGTCTCAAAATCATAGAGACTCGTTCATAAATAAAACCACACTGTACCGAAATATTCATATTCAAGCCCAGCCTTATAATTGGCTAAAGTAAAAGACCTTTAAGGAGTGGCAGGAAGGCCCCAAAGATTCTCCCTTCATTCTATCATGGCACCCAAATCCCACCAGTAGTGCCTCTTTTCCTTGATTCTTGAAGATATTTTTGTTTATCTGTGGTCTCTTACTGACCAGATGCAGATATCCCTTGGATGGACACTATCTGGAGGCCACTCCATGAATATTTAAGAATAACTTTACCAGAAAAGAACAAGATATAGCTGGAAAAGTACAGAAGCCAGGAGACTATGGTGAGGAGGAGGGGGCTGGATTGAACAGTGTAAAGATGGTGATTAATGAAACATGATTCAAAATAAAAAGCAACAGATGGCCAGCTGATTCATAAATCAGAAAATTCTTCCTGAACACTTGCTATACTCAAGACATTATGCCAGTACTGTGAAAATGCATGGGCAGGACGCCTGTCTTCATGAGTTGGGTCTTTGTGTGGGACAGTACAGAAAGTCTACACAGGGACCCAGGAAGCCATTGTCCAGCAAGCAGAAAGCATGATGGGAATGGGGGACAGGATGGAGAGAAGAGGGAGTGAGGATGAAATCAGAGATGGCTGGAGGAAGCCGTTCTCCCCTTGCTAAACACCTTTACTCTTCGGCCTGGGAAGGGATTGCAGTGTTTGATGCCTGGAGAATTTTATGTCCTTCTATCAAGTAAAAAGAAACATGAATTTGACCTCATATAATTAGTTTCTTACACTGCTTTTTAGTTTTGAGGTTTTGGTTTGTTTATCTGTTTAAAACACTTACCATCAAACCTCGCAAGCCTGCTAATGTCTGCTCCAAGTTCTGAGGTAACGGAGAGCGCATGACGAACTTTAAGGTTTGTTTCCCTGTGAAGTTAATGACATGGTGTGAGTTTCTACAAGGAATGGCACCACAGCATCTCACTAGAGCAATTGGGTGGGTGCAGCACATGCAAAACCCAACCCCAACGACCTGAAGACCACCCGAGCCTTGTCATGCACACTTCTCACACCCTTGGGAAAGTGAGTGGGCTGCTCAGGCTCATAAATTTGGCATCCACTCACCACACATCTGTGTAACAACACAGTAATCTGTTTTGCAATGTGAAAGAACCGGGAACATAATAAATATGATTTCATTTGAATCTACTCAGACACATGCGTGAGTTATAAAACACACTAGGAACAGGAGCGCAGTTGCCAAGTAAAGGAGGCCGGTATCACTCCAGAGCCTACTATCTGTGTAAGAGTTCTTCTGGCAAAAAATGGTCACGGTGAATTTTACGGTAGCTGAAATTTAAATGGGAAAAAGAAGACAGCTTTATTTTCCTTGGAGAATCAATCCAAGAAATCCATAAGTCTAGATTAAGACAACCAGGCAAGTTCTGCAGATTGTGTAAGGCAGTTACCTTCTTACAAGGCCACAGGTACTCTGGAAAGGTGGCACCTTGGTATTCACAAAATGGCCGGCAGTGATTCCATGGACATCCTTACTGTCTTCTGTTTAAGAACTTTCCATCCCAATTTTCTCACTAAGTTCAACTGAATTTTCCTCTAGGGTATCTTAAAATCATCTATCAGAGTCTTTTCTTTTATGTAAATGGGTTCATTCCGTCAAGAAATACTGACTAACTACATACCACAGACACTTAGGTAGTCAATGCTTCCCCAAGAGGATTACTGTTCTCTTGAGAGAAAAAAGTAGAAAGTAAAAAAAATATTTTTTAAAAAATATGTCCCTATGTGGAACTATATGTTTACATATGAAATTCATGAAGTTTAAAGAACTAAGAAACAGATACCCTAGAGAGCATTCAATCAAACCTCCTAGAAATGAGATTCACAATGATGTTAGGACAACATGAGTCCAACACAAGAATGCCCACTGGTGAAATAGCTTCCTTTAGGAAAACACAGTTGGACAAATAACTGAAGTTAGCTTAAAAGTAATCTTATGAATTGAAATATGTCAATTCCTAGTAGGCAGAGGTGAGAAGGGATTAAGATGGTCAAGAACATCATAAATGAGGCAGAAATTGAGCTGGGATTTGTGGACAAAAGTGAGATGAATAGTCTCAAAGCTCAAGATTCAATATGTCCATATCCATTTACACTATTTTTTGAATAATTACAATAATCACATCAACCAAGCCAGTGAGCTGTAGTTCTCTAATTCTGTTCTACCAGATGTCACTCGTCAAGTTTATCATTAGTTTAATTTACTTCCTCAGGAGTCTCTCCAATACCTCACCTCCATGTCCAAATGTGAAAACTAAAAGGGGGAAAGTAATCACACATAGACCTTACTGATACTTTAAACATTGTTTTCCAAGACTCTTGATTAATGCCCTCAGTGTTGTATCACACTCTTTTAATCTACCCAAATTTTGTGATAAAATTCAAAATGATGTTTAGCACAAGAAACAATACATAAAGATTTGTGTAGCTTGCCCTCAGTTTCCCCTAACAGTGACATCCTGTAACACTACAGCATAACATCACAACACAGGTACTGACAGTGACCCAACGTACAGAACATTTCTACCAAAACAAGGATCCCTCAGGCTGCTCTTTATAGCCACCTCACTTCCCTCCCTCCCCATCTCCTCTTTAATACCTGGCAACCACTAATCTGTTCTCCATTTGTATAATTTTGCCTTTTCAAGAATGTTATATAAGTGGAACCATACAGCATATGTTTCTCAATCCTTTAGCATTAGCTTGTGTTACTCAGCAGAATTCTCTGAAGGGTCATCCCAACGCTGCCTATCTCATTCCTTTGTATTTCTGAGTAGCATCCCACGAAGCAGCTGTGTCATGTTTTGTTCAATCATTCACCCGCTGAAGGACATCTAAGATGTTTGGGAGGCTTCAAATCCATTGGCCCTAAACCTTTATGTATAGGTTTTCTGTGTATACAGAAGTCTTCATTTCTCCAGGATAAATGGCCAGGAGTAAAATTGCTGAGTTGCACAGTAGTTGTATGTTTAGTTTTTAAGAAACTGACAAATCATTTTCAAGAGTCACTATATTATAACATAATATAATGTTATATTATATAACATTATATTATAATTATATTATATAATTATTATATTATATAACATTTTATTTGCACCAGCAGTGTAAGAGTGAGGCTCTTTCTCCACACCCTTGCCAGCCTTCGGAGCTGCGTCACTATGTTTTATGTGAGCCGCTCTGAAAGATCTGCAGTGATAAAGCATTGTGGTTTTAATTTCCCTAATGGCTAAGGATGTTGAACAACTTTTTGTGTGCTTATTAGCAATGTTCTCTTCGGAGAAATGTCTGTTCATGTCATTTGTCTACTTTGTAAGTAGTTTTTTTTCAACTACTGAGTTTTGAGAATATTTTTACATACTCAGGATTCAACCCTTTTGTTAAATAGATGCTTTGCAAATAGTTTCTCCCAGTCTGCAGCTTATTATCGCACCCTCTCAATTGGGTTGTTACAGAGCAAAAATATTTTAATTTGATGAAGCCCAGTTTACCAAAATTTTCTTTTTATGGATCATGTTTTTTGTGTCAAATCTGGTAACTCTTGGACTAGCCCCAACTCTCAAAGATCTTGTCCTATATTTTTGTCTAAAAGTTTTAAGGTTTTATGTTTTCTATTTAGATTTAACTTCCTTAATAGTTATAGGATTATTCAAGTTATCTGCAGGAGACCACAATATTGATTATGCCCAAAGCAGGCTGTGAGGAGTTAACCCCGCAATCGGCTTGTTTATAGAAGTGAGTCTGGCCAAAGCCTTCATACCGAGGTCAGAGTAACTTGCACCCAAATTCCATTCCCACAGCTAAAACCTCCTGACTAGGACAATGTTCTAATTACAGCCATATAGTTTGTCTATTCTGTTCCTTATTCGAAAATGCTTTGTCTTTTCCTTCATGAGCCTTGTTTACATTAACTTCCACAGGAAGTACACAACTGCATATCCTTACACATCGTGCTGCCCTCACAGGTAGCTCACCTTTACCCCAGTTGATTGCCAATAAAACTCAGTGGCTTGGACAGATCAGCACCTTTGTCAGTTGCACCAGCATTGGTCATCCTGTCACCCCTCTTTCTCTCCTAGTTCTGTCTTTTAGTTTTATTTCTCAGGCCTGTGTTATATACTGGGCAGGAAACTGGAACCCAACTGCAAGGGTCTGCAGTAGTTATCTATTTTATATTGGGTGTATAGCCTTGTTTTGTTTTGAGGAAGTGCTCCATTTTGTCTAAGTTATCAAATTTTTGTGCATAGAGTTGTTTGTAGTATTTCTTCATTATCCCTTAGATATGTTCAGGATCTGTTTGAATTCACCTGGGTCATCTATGATATTAATAATTCATTCTCATTCTCTCTCTCTCACTACAGGTTTGTCAACTAAATTGCTATTTTCAAAAAATCTATTTCATTGACTTTCCTTATTTTTGTGCTCAAGTTCGGTAATTTTCATTCTTATCTGAATTGCTTCCTTCCATCCACTTGTTTTGAATTTATTTGGCTGCATCCATGTGCTTGAGACAGGAGTTTGATTTGAGACATTTTTAAGTATATGCATTTCCCTATCAGCTCTGAAAAGGTTCTGCCCAAACCAGGAGTGGGATGAGCACACAGCCAAAATGCTGCTTGAATAGCTTAATATGGCAATGACTATCAGACTGCCAAGATTGTGTCTTACCATAGAGCTCCCATATTGCCGATAACTAAATTCTAAATTAATGTCAATTTCCAAACTGCACCAAAAATTTCAAATGATGGAAGTGGTTTCTCTCTTCTCTCTCTGCAGCTTCACCTGTTGGTTCTTAAAGTCCCTTTCAGACTCTCCTTCCTCCAAGGACACTGACCTTCACCCTTCTCATTTTCCTTAGAAAATCACTTGAAATTAAAACCAGCAAAAGCTTCTAGGGCACTTCACTAAGAGTTCTTGTGCAGGTTGTTCATGTACACGTGTTTAACTCACTGTTTCTGAAAGAAAATAAACTCAAGAGAAAAGAATCTCCCAGGTAAATTTAAGAGAAAATTTGTTTTCAAAATTACTGCAAAATAACTCACACTGGGATTTGCCACTTAGATTCCTATTTCTTCTGTGAAAATAAAGAATGAGGTTGGAGACCCGTTTCTAAAGACTCCATAAATTAAAAAACAATCTAATCAATTATTCTGATTTAACAACTTACCCATCAAGCTCAGCGGTTTCAATGTAACAGAGACCATGGGGCTCACTGCTTGATAGAAGAAGCAAATCAGCCTGTTTTAAGAAATCGTGGCACAGAATATTTGAGAAGGGAAGAAAGGTTCAAAGGCAGCTACACTCATTACCCTCCACTACTAATTGGCCCTCAGAGCCTTGGGAACAATGCTCATCCGGGAGACTCTGTACTACTTCCGGGTCACTGCCCTGAACCTACCTTCTCTCCCCTCCGCTGACCCCAACAGAAGCTAGGGCTAGAGGTAGTTCATAAATTAGTAGCCACTTGCTTTGCCTTTTTTGATCATTTCTTGTTTTGCTACAATTTTTTTTTGCTTTGATCATTACTACTGGAAAATATAAGTCACTCTCCAATTAAATAATTACAAACATTTATATGCACACATGTTAATTACTTAGTATGATCAATTAAAGGCAGGGACCAGGCAAGGGAGATGGGGAAGACAGATGAAGTAGATGGAAACTGAAAGGCAAAGAGATAGGAAAAAAGATAAAAAGACTGAAAGAAAAAGTAAGCAAAAACTGAAAAGAAATGGGAAAGAGAAAGGAAGGGGGTGCTTAGGCAAGAGAACAAGATAAAATAGAAAGTATGGTAAAAGACACTGGAAAAAGTTCAGATATTAAATCGTTTGATTTTTTAAAGATAAGTCATTTTATTTCAATGTCCATTGGAGATTGGAAATTACCTATCACAATTCAGTTTTAGAATTACCGTAGCTTCCTATAGTAGGAAATGGCTTATCTGTTTTACTTTATTTAAAATTTCAATTTTTTTTTTTTTTTTTTGGTACTGGGGATCGAACTCAGGACCTTGCGCTTGTGAGGTGGGCAGCAGAACCACTGAGCTAAATCCCCGGCCCTCAAATTTTATTTTAAAAGTAAGTGCTTTTATGAAATTCCAAGGAGTGTGAATGTCTAAAAAGAACTGACTTAAGTTTCAGCAACTTCTTTTCAGACATTAGCCAGGCAATTTTCTTGCTGTCTGAATGTGTAATTAGCATTCCAAATCTATGACATTTTCTTACCTTTGTTCTTAAAAATATTAGAATTGCTTTGTCCTCAAGTCTTGGAAGTTAAATTTAGACTCTACTGGTTTCACTGTCACAAGCTCTTAAATTTCCAACTCAAAAATAGCCGCATCGAGTTTTGTGCCTGTGTGTGTGTGTTAGGATAAAACAGAGCTGAAACAGTCCCTAAAGGAATAAATGGGACTGAATGATTAAGGCTCCTCCTCAGCCCTGAATGAAACAACCTGAGAAGCTGACCCAGGCAGAAAATATCTTCTCACTTGTCACAGTGTAAGCAGAGCACACCCACAGAGAATGTGTCAAAAGTGCGTGCCACTGTGAACCAGCCATTCCCTATCCTGATCAAAAAGAGAAACTTTTTTCCTTTTGGAAAATTCACCTTGATCTTATTGCCCACATCTGAAGCTTAAATATGGCTTCTCTTATATGAAAAAAACAAAATATAAATAAATTAAAGAGCAAAACAAAAGATAGAAAGTAGCAGACAGAGACAGATCCTTGCCGAAGGGAAAGGAGCCAAAGGATGGAGAGGTAGGGAGAAAAAAGAACTGAGATGCATCATGTGCATGTCCCAACTCCCCATGATGGGTGTACTCATCACGTACTACAAGCATGTACCAATAAATTAAGATTTTAAAAATTCACTGCATAAGGGCCTAATCCTGGCAGTGGGCAAGATTAAAGCTCTTGGGGTCCATGACTCTCTTCACCCAATCTTAAAAAGATCATTTTTAACAAAATCCAGAATTCTCTCAGCATCTGTGATTGAAAACAGTTATAACATATAGAGAAATATATCTACTCCTATGTAGCACTGCAGAGAAAGTGGTCCAATGTTGCTGCCCCTTGTGGTAAGCATGGGGAGGCTGGGGACACGTGACTAAGGCACCACTGCCACCTGGCGGCTGGATTCTCCTCCAGAAGAGGACCCAGTTTCCTAGAGGCTGAAAGTCTATGCCTGAGGGATTCTAGCCTGATGGCTCCTGCTTTGTCTTCCTGGGAACCTGGAACTTTTCCCCTCCCTGCCTCTTCTGGTCTCCTCCATTGTCACCTCTTCTTTGATGTCCTCTGAACAATCTCACTCCCTGTTCTCTGTCCTACCCTCTGCTCCTTCATTCTCCCTCCTGCATTCCCTCTGCTGAGCCGTGGTACTCCTTTCTGTTCACCTCTCCCTTGAAGGTTTGGGGCAAGGAGAAACAGGTTGGACAGGGCCCCCCCTTCTAGTGCACTTGGGAATACTTCAGGTAAGGAAAGGGCACAAAGATCCCAGTTATAGCCCCGCTAGTCCCTAGTCATCCTTTGATCAGAGGCACTGGGCCAAGAGTTGGAGCAACCTAGGAGTGGCACCAGGCCCAGGACTCCGAGCATCCCAGACCAGACCTTCTCCAGCAACCCCTCCAGGAAATCTCAGGGGGCCCAATTCCTACTTGATCTGGAAATTGTGTCCCAGCAATAGCCAATATTTAGAGAAGATCTTCTATGTTCTGGCATTCTCCTAAGAGCTTATATGTGGAATTTTATTTAACTGTCACAGAGATCCTGTCATGTAGTCCTGTTGTTGCCCATCCCCACTGAGTACAAGTGAGAAAAGTGAGGCCCATAGAGGCTCAGTAACCTGATCCAGGCTGAGTGGTTAGGAAGTGGGCAGCCAGGAATTGAATCCAGCCAGACTGAGCCATAGATGACAGGTCACTCAAATCCTTTTTTCAGTGATTTTCTAGTTTAGCAAAGGCAGGATAAGGTAAGGGCTCTGAAGGCCTTATTAACAAAGTGCTATGAGACAAGTGAGAATGAGAGAGCACATTGTGTTGGTAGTTGAGGACAGGCATCATGGGAGATTCCAGGAGCAATAGAAGGCAGATTGCAGGAGCAATAGAAGTCAGATTGCAGAAGCAATAGAAAGAAAACTCCAGAGTCGCATGGAACATGGCAAATCAGCCCGCTGCAGACAGGCAGGTCTGCACACGCCCTACCAAGGTCCCGAGCCGCACGGAACATGCCGAATCAACCCGCACCCCGGCAACAATCCACTGGACAACCCCCCCCCCCGCTCCTCTGTACAGGCACCTGGTTCCACACTACAAAGACACAGAGGAAACCATACCACCAGACCATGCTACTGAGTCCCAATGCTCCCGGCCCAGAGGAAGGGGCTTCTGAGCTGCTGTCCCACTGCTCCTGGTCCAGAGGAAGGGGCTTCCCGGCCACCATCCCTCCCGCTGCTCCCAGCCCAGAGGAAAGGGCTTTTGGGCCACC